GGATTATTGTTTAGGGTTTAGGGTTTCAGGGTTTGCATAGAATCACCTCGCAGCCCGTGACGGGAGTCACATACTAACCAGCTTATCAGACACACACTGAAGCATCGGTTGGGCCCTAAACCCTAAACCCTAAACCCCTAACCCCTAAAGCTTGGTTGGGGTATCCTTAAACTGCGCCCTTCATTCACGGGGCCCAAGACGCTGCTCTGCGCCAAGGTTCGAGCCTACAATGACAAGGTGGAGGACATTTCGGGTTCAGGGTTTAGGGCCGTTTAGGTTTGGGGTTCGGGGTTTAGGGTTTAGGGTTTAGGGTTCGGGGTTGAGAGTTTAGGGTACGACAAACATCAAGAGGGTCCAATTAGGCGTTGAAACAGGGATTCGAGCATTTCGGTTCTGAGTCCGTTAACCTAAAGGTCTGCACTAGAAACAACAGCGCAACAAGTAAAAAACAGAGGTGTGAATGATAACTTTTTCTTGTCCGGCTACAGGCCCCTGGGCCCAGCGCCCGCCGCAACAAGCACGACGCCCTTAAAACCTGGTTAAACCTAACAGAAAATACCCTAAATCCAGAGTACGCCCCCCACATTTGCCACAGCAAATGTGGGTACAGTCACGCATGTCGTGTGTAAAAACGACCACCTAGTGGCTGAGTAGGTAACCTTTAACTTTTTGGGGTTTTATAATCCTACCATAATTGAAAAGGTTAACCTTTTTTGGGCTTGGGTACTCAGCCCCTAAGACCAAGAAAGGACTGCACATGATCGGATCGGATTCTGGTACCGGGCTGGGAAAGGCCTGGCAGTTCAGGGTTTAGGGTTCAGGGTCCAGGGTCAGTTTAGGGTTTAGGGGTTTAGGGTTTAGGTTTTAGGGAGTCATGACCGCCACGGCGACTAATGGAAGCTTGAAGTTCATAGATGGAGACGAGCGATGTCGATGGCGGCATCCATGAAGAAGGGCTTGAGGAGAGTGAACAAGCTGGGCAAGCTCTCACCAAAGAATGGTCAGCATTATGTGAGGGTTTCCGAAAACAGGGACCCTAGTATAGGACCCTATAAATAGTAGGATCCTTTGTATAAGGACCCCCAAATAGGGTACCCCTTGTTTTCGGCAACTCCCATGTCGACGGACTGGCGGCTGTTTTCATGGCGGAGTCGCTAGGGCTCCATGCTATCATCGAAACGATGGCCAGGTAATATAGGGGCCTTAACAATTACCTATACTATTTGGGGGGTTCCTTATTATGATGATTGTATAACGGGCCCAAAGCCCTATTCTAATTTAGTAAGGCCCCCATATTACCGTGCTGTTATCCAAGACACCTTCCGAGCGAAGCCTTCAAGAGTTTGGACGGGCTGGGAACCAGCTAAGTCGCCGGAAATTGTGAGGACATCCCGAGACTTAACTTCTTCGACGGGACACCGATTTTGGACTGGATGATTCCAACGGAAACTTTGGAAAGGCCTTGAGTGCTTGGTTGCAGAAGTTGAAAGCTTGAGCGAAGACTGCTTCAATCCCTTCGTTGCGGTGGAGTGGCCGAAGACGTGTCAGTATTGGCAGTGGAAAGCCACCAAGTGGACATTGAGCTTTCGTGACATGCTCCACATGAGCAACGCTGCAACCGAAAACATGGCGAGTGTAGGATTGGTGATGATACTGGGCAGAGTGATTGCTGGAAATACCGAATGGTGATGATGATGCTGCTGCACCATAAATCAAGCAACCTTAAGCACTGCACCCCGAAACCCTAGAACCTGAACCACACAAGCCCCCGGAATAAAACCCAAAGCCATTGCCCCCCATGTGGGAGTTTCCGAAAATTGGGGGTACCTTATTTTGGGGTCCTTTAATAAGGATCCTACTATTTAGGGCACTATATTCGGAAACCCCCATGTAGGTTCCCTTTTCGATTGCTCGAGGACGGCAACATGTACTTCGTACAGAAAAACGTCGAGCTACGGCCGACTACCACAACGACTTCCACGACCACCACCGACGCTTGCCCAGAGGGTCCCCTAAGCCCTAAACCCTAAACCCTGAAGTACTTGGAGGGTGCGGGGAAGTAGTATAACATAGACACTTTAGAGAGACAAGTATCATAACCCCAATTAGGATCCCATTTAGGGTATGACTACCACCGACACGTGAGCTTCGTTTATACCTTAACTAACCTAATTGAATTTATAGAGACCCCACATGTAGTTGTACTGAGGAAGGAAGAGAACGGCTCTTGTACTCAAGCAGAGCAGGTCAGTTTTTAAGTCGGGGCCCTAAACCCTAAACCCTAAACTCTAAACCCTAAACCCTAAACCTTAAACCCTCAAAAGGGATCCTAATTTCGGTGCGAGGCGGCTGGGGGGTAAGCAAATCGGTTTAGGGTTTAGGGTTAAGGGTTTAAGGGTTTAGGGTTTAGGGTTTAGGGGTTTAAGGGTTTAGGGGTTTAGGGTTTTAGGGTTTAAGGGTTTAGGCTTGAGGGTTAAGGGCTTAGGGGAGCTATTCAGCGAACTTCTGCACCAAGTTCCAGTCACTCACCCTAAACCCTAAACCCTAAACCCTAAACCCTAAACATGCGAGACATACATCAGAGCCGGAGGCCTTCAACCTTGAGGTTCCCTTTGCACGGCCCGTGACCCAGAGAGCCCAATACCCCTTAAAGAAGGAATATAGCAGTTTAGGGTTTAGGGTTTAGGGTTTAGGGTTTAGGGTATTAGCTTAAAATATAAGGAGCTTCATATTCTAGTTTAAGCTATATTCCTTCTTTAAGGGGTATTGGGCTCTCTGGGGAGTTTCCCCGGTATCTCGAGGGCTCGCTTAAAGCCATTAAGCGGCTTGGGGTGGGTTGATCGTGTTTATGGTTTTGCAGCTACAGCTGTAGGCATAAAAGTTACACCCAGGGTCCAGGTACCACACAACTAGGTACTTAGGCCGATCCGAAGTGATTAGTACACGTAAGCATGTCGTGGGATATATGACTGTCAGATATGTTGATATCTGCAGGGCTTTTGATGGCATACGAGAAGCCAGCCAATCAACTGTTTAAGTCCACAGCAAAGGTCACCACCACTTCCGCCATGACTTCGCGGATCAGCGGCGCCAAGGTGAGAGTTGATCATGCATGCATCATCAGCCCTGCAAATAGATTCGGCACCCAAACCCTAAACCCTAAACCCCTATACCATAAGTAGTATAGCCCCAAGTAATCAGGATCCACTTTTCAGGGAACCTTAACCCTAAAGCCTAGAAACTTAACCCTACACAATGAACCGCGAATGCCGGGAGGCTAGAAAATGTTCCCCCCCTTGGTTTGGGGTTTAGGGTTTAGGGGCTTAGGGTTTAACCTAAAAAGTTTTATAGAGCCCACAATTTTCAGGGTCTGTAAACCTACAAGCCCTATGCTGCTGCGATGTTGGAGCACTATCTTGGCTTTTATTCATGGTCTTGTGGCCCGCAGCGAAAGAACACTCCTTCATGCGAGGGTTCGTGAGGTAATTAACCCTAAGCCCTAAACCCGAAACCCTAAGCCCTAAACCCTAAACCCAAAACCCTAACACACAGGTTTTGAGGTTTGGGGTTTGGAATCTTTTTCTCCTTCGAGGTGAGGGCTCTGACCTGAAAGCGCGATCCAGTCCCGAGAAATGCGAATGCTTCATTGTCCTAAAGTTTAGGCTTTGGAGTTTAGGGTTGAGGGTTTAGGGTTTCGGATTTAGGATTTAGGGTTTTGGGGAGACCCCTTAGAGGGGAACCTTCTTGACCATACCTTTGGCTCTCTTAAGGGCGACCTTATTGAGAGGGTCTACGTCCCCAAGGGTCCCCGTGGTTTAGGGCTTAGGGTTTAGGGTTTAGGGTTTAGGGCCTCAGCAGATGCTCGGAACAAGATCCTTGTTCGGGCATGGAGCTTCAATGCTCTTAGCTTCCCGGACGGCTATTGATGTCACATTACTTTCCTGAGCTCACACAATAAACTGTGAACTGCGATAATCAAGACCGAGACTCCACCCTCTTGAAGCCGTCATGCCCTAAACCCTAAACCCTAAACCCGAGCTCAAGCCGTTCGAGCAAAGCTGCCTGCCTTTTCGACTCATCACTTGCAACTTGTATCCCGAACTCATCCCCGTCTCCACTCTGAGGATGACGAAGTTGGAGGCAAGGACCTAAACCCTCAACCCTAAACCCTAAACCCTAAACCGTCAACCCTCAACCCTAAACCCTAAACCCTAAACCCTCAACCCTAAACCCTAAACCCTAAACCCTAAACCCTAAACCCTAAAAGGTGCAGGGGAACCCCATGGTTCTCTCTGCTTAGAGGATCATGGGACTTAGTAATTCAGGTTATCAACAAGGTAACTACACTTATAAACCCCAATTGGGGTTTAGGGTTTAGGGTTTAGGTTTTAGGGTGTAGGGTTTAGGGTTTAGGGTTTAGGGTACTTATAACCCAAAAGTACTAAGTCCCAAGATCCTCCAAGTGTGCTGAAGGTCTTGCAGGACAACCTGATGTGCATCCAGCAGCTCGCGGCGTACTCAGGGGCGAGTCCGAACAGAGTGCTCAGAGTGGTTCTCGGGAAAGAGAGCGCCCCAGGGTGCTTTCTGCTGTTGCCCTTGATGACGCGCATGCTGACGGAGCAGATGGCAGTTGATGGATATATATATATATATATCCACCAGCTCGAAGAAAGCCACGTCCATGAAGAGCTTGCATCTGAAAAGCATGTTCGAAGACAGCGCAGGGCTCAAGCTCACAGGGGAGGACGGAGTGAGAAACAGCGTCGTGTCAAGCGGCGCGTGCGGAGTCCTGATCTCCGCGCTCACCGGGCAGGAGCTCGGAGCAGGCGCTGCGATCGCGAACGCGACTGCCAAGAGGCAGCTGGACATAGAGAAGTGGGGGTCTCCGAAGCGGGAGAAGCAGCTGAGCACGAAGATCAAGACCTTGAAGGCCTCCAAGAAGTAGCCTCAAAGGATGTGAGAGAAGACATGGAGACAGAAGTGACGGAGAAGTATGCGGAGTCAATGAATTAGGATCCCCTTTAAGGGTACCCCAAACCCTAAAGCCTAAACCCTACACCCTGAAACCGAAAACCCTAAACCCTAACTTAGGATCCCCTTTGAGGGTCCTTGTAGTTCTAAGCCTCTAAGTAAACCGGGTCCCAAGAACCCTAACCCCTAAACCCTAACCCCTAAACCCTAAACCCTAATCCCTAAACCCTAAGCCCTAATCCCTAAACCCTTTAACCCCTAAACCCTAAACCCTAATCCCTAAACCCTAATCCCTAAACCCTAAACCCTACTTAGAAGCTTCTAAGTAAGCCGGGTCTCAAGAATCGCCAGGTCTCTAGTACCGGGACTACGACGCCGACGCTGAACCGCAAGGGCATGCATGGGTCTACTTAATGGATCATGGGACTTAGTAAGTAGGGTTATAACTAAGGTAACTGTACTTATAACCCCAATTAGGGTACTTATAACCTTACTTACTAAGTCCCATAATCCTCCAAGAACTATTAGGAATCCAAGAGGGACATAAGCATAAGCATTTTATCGGGAGATCCCTACCTTACTGTGCTTCATTATAAGGGGGTTGATATGGGATATCCTAGCCTAATTTTTGCTTGGGTGCTTTTTGGGGGTCCTATACTATAGGGGGGGGGGGGCTCAATAATCACCTATACTAGGTTGATGATACAAATCCTGCGTTACCCAGAATCTGGAACATACCATAATTCTTATAGTTTAGGGTCCTTTAGGTATCGCAGGATTACCCCAAAGCCCTATTGTAATTATTGAGGCCCTTACGGTAGGGTTTAGCGTTTATTGTTTAGTCTGCCATTTTCCTAAGAGTCCCAAAGGACCTGGTAATTAGGCGTTCGGCTGTAGGATAGTAGTTTTGTAGGTTGGTATGTTTGGGGGGAGTAGAGGCTAGCTAGGTACATGGAACCTAGGAACCCTAAATCCAGGGTTTAGGGTTAAGGGTTTACCTTAAGAACCCAAAACCCATTTTTTGTAGGTTCTTATTATAAACTCTAATATGGGTTGTATAGGGACCCTACAAAAAGTAGGTTTGGGGTTCTTAAGGTAGGGCTGTGCAACCCTAAATCCTGTCTGCATTCAGACGCCTTGCCCTGCCCCGAAGGGTCCATGTACCCAAATAGCGTATACTTGTACTTGGAGGGTCCGGGGACTTCGTAAGTAGGTAATGCAAGCAGACGTATACCTATCCTAAAAGGGATCGTCATCGGGGGTATGATGCTTATAAGTCTACAAAATAACTATTTACTAAGTCTCCCGAGCCTCCAAGTAGCCTAAACCCTAAACCCTAGAAAATTAGATTCGGCTCTGGCACCGGCACCCCCCAAGTGTCATTTGATAGAGCCCTTATGGTCCCTAATAGTGGGTATGTGGGGTACCCTAAACCCTAAACCC